GGCAGATTTGACCAAACTTGCACTAAAATTTGAAATAATCCAGGATTCAATTTCCATATTCAACATAAAATTTCTGTGAACAAAGGCAACATGTCTGGATGCATTTTCAGGAAACGGTTTGTTCTCGTTAAAAAGAACATGACCGCAATGAGGTTGAGGCTTATATGTAAGCCAACCACAAGGTTTGCACACACGCCTCAATGTAAAATGATGCAATTTTGTGGATAAAAGTTGGTCAAAGTTTCTGATGCTCCATGGGAGTAATTACTCATAATCTATGTGTTTTAAAAACACATAGATTATATCATCAGAAAACATCACATTTACACCAATACTTGATGTTGAAACTAGCCTTTACATATACTGTGAAAGATGCTAATGTTATGTGAGACTAGACTATTAGGTTTACTCAAATTATTTCTATATGCTAAATCCCAAAAGTAATAAGCAAATAATAATAATTTTAGATATTTCTCCTTTTTTTCTATTTTAAGTCACAAGTTTACATACATTTCTTTACTTTTTAAGAAAGTAGCTTTTCAGACTTAGTAACTTGGCTCAGATGCTTTCCAATATGCTTCCTCTAGCTTTTGCACAATAACTTGCTAGAATTTTAGCCCATTCCTCTTCAGAGAAGTGGAGGAACTGAAATAAATTTGAAGGTCATTTTTCTTGGAAACACCTCAGCTCTGTCCACAAACGTCTTATGGGATAAAGACTTTGTTGTACTCATTTAAAACCAGCTGTTGTTTTGAAATGTTGCCTTTGTACTTCCCCATCCTGTTGTTTCCTTGTGAAGTGATTGTTTTAGTAGAGGTGCATCACATTTCCTCCTTCAGTGAAACACCCACACTATATCATGCAACTGCTGCTGTCCTTCATTTTTGGGTTGATGTTCTTAATTTCTTCAAATCTCTTCAAATGTCACAGCTGATGAAACCAAGACTAATTGTTTTGGTTTCATCAGACCACAGGACATGTTTCCAAAGTAATCAAGGTCTTACATGTAGGTTTTCTTAAACTTCTGACGTAGAACAAATTCTCTCACATTATGTTAGTTCTGAGAAAATAGAAACCATTTTGGTAAACCTATCTGATGGGAAACTAGAAATGTTGGTCAAATATGATGTCAGACACCCATCAGATTTCATTCAATGGGTGTAAGTATGTATTTCAGCTGTGAACATTATTTGTAGATTTTGGTTGTTCTAACTTGCCTCATGATGCAAGTTATGTTTGAATAATATTGAGGCTTTGTGACAAAAGCTACTTCTGCTGGCCACACATTTTTCAATGCACAAACTCATCTACACTGTAACATGTTACTCTAACGCACAGTTGTTACAAAACTTTTCAGCCATGAAAAAGTATTTGTTAGACTTTAAAACATGGATGCATAATTAGTATGGGTCCAGTATATTTACAACAGGATCAGCTGCCAGGATATTGTATTTGTCTTTTGTGTATACCACTTTATTATCTCTGGCAAAGTCAAAGCATAATGTACCATTTTTGCAAACTGCTTAAATTCCTGAAGTGGACCTTAAGTAATCTCAGCTGTGGATTTGGGAGCCAAAGTGGGAATCACTCTGAAAATGTCCAAACTTTTTCTCCTTTTCAGTTTTTCTGAAACACTGAAAACTTTTTAAAGTTGATTGTGTTTTAGAATAAGAGCTACACTTCTATGCAGTTGCATAGAAACCTCTGGGCTTCACCATTTAGTAATTCAGGAACTACCCTTCCCCCCATCCGCCTATTGTGGGCGTTTACTTATGCAGTCTTTCCAAAGAAAACTTAGAAATGATCCCCTGAAAAGATAAACTTAAGTTTCTCTTCATGGAAAACCTTTGTAAATCCTGCCTAGTTGAATAATGATTGCCAAAAACGTTTGAGTGTGTACAGATCCAGATGTGGAGATGAATCAATTAAATGCTAAACTTTTTTTGTTATGAATAACTTTTGTCAGGATCTGCCACAAAGCAGATCAGGCCCCTGACTTGCTGAGATTTGCGACTGAGTTTTACTGACTTGCATGAACATTTTGTACAAAACAAAACATCTCATTGTTCATAACTAAGGATGAGACTGCTACAGTGAACTTTAGGAGGGTAAAGGTGTACTTTCTGGGTGCTTGGGGCAAAGTTGAAGTCTGAACATTAGTCAAGTTTAATCTTCTTATTTTCCCCCATACTTTGTATGTCTGTTTCAGGTGGAGGGGTTCTTCCAGCCACCGACAGATCAAATTGAAAACCAAGTTGTCACAAATAAAGCTCAAAGAAATCGAGGGGCACCACTCACTCCAGTTCCTAATAGTAACAACTGCGACCCATCGTTTAGTTCTATGCAAGACAATGAACGGGAAGAGAGGTTCTCTGAAACCTCAGAGACACAGCTCCTTTCTTCTCCAGAGGGATCAATGGTGTCTTCTTCATCACAGAGCAGCCCATATCGCAGTCAGGATATGTTGCTACGAGTGGAAAAGCCATCCAAGAGTGACTTGGGCAACAAGCAACAAAATACTTTAATGAAGAGTTTATACATAAGCTTGAACATGTTTGAACAAACTGATGTTAGGTGAGTGTTGTGCCAAGAAAACACAAGGTGAATTCAAGATGAGTCACTCAGAATAGATGTTCAGTGACAACATGGGGAAAGATTGTTGCCTACAGTGAAACAGCATGAGTGGAAAAAGTATGGCTTGTTTTTATTTACAGCATGGCAACCTGTTTCTTTCTTTCTTTTTTTTTAAAGGCTTTTATCAAGACGCCTTCATTACATTAAGACTAAAAAGCTTTCACAAAAGCTGCTTTTTGATCTACAACAAAACTGTGTTTGTAAAATTAAGATCTCAGAACATGTTTTGTAGGCTATTTACTGTACCACCAAACTATGTGTCATAGACTGTATTATTAAAGAACACACAGCATGTTGATTGCATGATATATCAGAATACAGATTCTCAAAAAGGCAAACACCTCAACTCCACTGTGTTTTCTGGGAGAAAGGAGCTCTGTCTTGTGGTCATGGCATACTTCGTAGTTTAGACATACGGCCACAGAAGACTGCTGTTATGAACACAAGTGGTCTCTGTTTGAAATTCCTACAATTTCTTCAGTGTTGCTGTGTAGGTTTCCTGGACAGTTTCTTTTCATGAATTTTGGAGAAATGGACAAGTTTAGTAATGCCGTTGTTGTCGCCTATTTTCCTCATATTATTTGGGACAACCTTCATTTCAATTGGACTTTATTTCTTGTTGATGAGATTCACCATATGTAATGACTGATGTAATTTCAACAAAGGTAAATATTGAAATTAAATGCAAAACAGATTCAACAGTGTGTTAGTTTGCCAGTGAAAACAATTATGTTACAAGGTAATGACAGCTTTTTCTGAATATTTTGTAATTAAAATGATAACAAAGAAATTAGTTCTAGAGGATATTATATGTGTAAAGGTTTTTTAAACAATTTGTTAAAGTCACGGTTTTTACAGAAACCTGAACTCATAGCAGAGGTCTTGTACACTGTTTTGTTTTCTAATTGTTTCCACAGAAATAAGCTTGTACAGTTTTATTTGTTTTATCAATGTGTAATAGTGCATGTGAATGTCAAAGTGGTTTTGATCTGAATATAAACTATGAACAATAAAGAAGATGTAAAAAAAAAAAGCAATAACCATTAATGGGTAAAAGTAAAACAACAACAACAACAAAGAAACTGTTCTAGATGTGTTTTTGCCTCCACAAACTTCGGTTTTACTTTTGTTTGTAATGATCCGTAATACTCTGATGGAGATACCAACAAACATTTTCTGCAGGTATTTCCAAAACAGCAAGCAGGCATTACTGGTTGTAACAGGATGGAAGCCTTTGTCTGCTTTCCACTGTGGTATGTGTTGCTAGGTTTCTGTCTTCATAAACTTCCAAACAAACACAAACATTCCTGCTGTTTATATTGATTTACTGTGATTTTGTTGCTCTATAAATTATGGTGTCGTGGATTAAATGTTTGTAAAGATACGTCTTATTACAACTTGAACGCGTGAAAAAAAATGCATGAGTATCTACTTCAGCTATTAAAATTACACATGAAAGAAATGATAGTCATAGTCAAAACAGATGATAACAGAAAACTCTGTAGAAGCAAATTCTAAATGACTTAAGCTATTCAGGAAAATATTTCAAGAAAATATTTATTTTAATAAATATTCAATTAAAAGTTTTATAAAAATCCAACTCTTTTTTTGTAACACCTTCAAAACTTAGATATTATCCAGTGACATATTCTTAATTATAAAGTACATAGTTAAACATGTCCATTCACTGAATCAAAAATATATTTTCTGCAAGTAAACAGTGCCACTCTGCAGCCTGCAAAACCATATTAATTTGTTACTTCAATGTCACCTTTCTTTGCTGCATGCATTATGATGCAATTAAAATATCACTGACATTTGATCAGGTAAGCTATACACCAAATTTAAGCTACTTTCCACCAATGCATGCCAAAATCATTCTCTCTTTTATCAACTCCACATTAGTATTTGTAGCAACTTTATTGTTTGCATAACATCTGTTTTGAAACAGAATTTCTTCTTATAATCATACTCCTTTTCATCCTAGTTCTGTTATTTTTAATATTATTGACTATGAATTCATTTTAGCTGTGTTGTCATTTACTTATAAATTTTTTATCTCACTTTTTGTTTAGATTCATGAATTTTATTGCTATTGTGAAGCACAACAAAATTGCTTTCATGTCAACCGCTGTGCGCAGTTAAATAAAATCTTAAAATGTTTAATAAAAGTTAGTAAATTTAACAATATAGTGTATTAATTATTGCATGTAACGAAAAAAAAATCCACATTAAGACATGAGCTTTCGCTTTAGTGCACGTCTGAAAAAAATCTTTGAGCTTCATGTCATACTGAAATGTATCAATAGGTGGCAGCATTACAGGTTATCTGTCTTGAATCACAGATATTACTAAGAAGAAGGAGTTTGGCTCTGTAATTTAGCACAAGCTAACCCAGTGAAGCAATGCTTGCCTTTTTCTTACCATGTGGATTTGAAAAGAAAGAAAACACCTTGGAAATAGAGAAGTAATTTTCGGGTGGTGCACTGCATTGACTCTTCACAGCCCATGTTGTGTTTAAATTCGTTCCCGCCCGTCGGAATGCTGCCCGGGCTTAAACTTGTTGGCTGATCCCTTTGAATTAGCAGCTCCTGGGCCTTGAAGCCGCGGTGCTCGAGTGTAGTGTTAAACCGGGATCAGAGATCTGTGACCGACGGAAACTTATTTAAGGTTTTGCTCATTTTTACAAGTCTATTCTTAACATGTCGCACACTGGACCCCCTCCACGATGGCGTAACTGTCCCAGGAGAGGGCAGCCATTGGCAGGTAAATAATAACACATATGGGATAATTTTTCAAATGTTATCTTCTGGAAGATATGTGAATGAATTAGCTTGTTTGCCCAATAACATGTGGATAGTGCTAGATTCGCTGGGTTCTCTAAAAATGAAGTTGAAGTTAATTTAGAAAAACTAGCTATCTCAGTTTGTTGTTAGAAGGCTTACAGTGAACAGTGCTATCCAAGTGAAAGAGCTATATTTAGTAAATAAACCAGTGATAGATTTTTTACCGCCGAGTTCCTTAGCTCACTTACAAAATTACATACATTTGAAATGTTTTGAATTTACGTTTGGATTTTGTTGTTTTTTGACTACCTAATGAGTTTTCCGGATTTATTCAATGAAGTCCGGCGTGACGCTTCTCACGTGCCACCTTTAAGGGCGTGCAAGTTAAATAAGCATGTAGTGGCTTTCAGTTGTGCTTTAAAACCAAAGTAGTATTCATGGCCAACATTTGTCAATTGGAGACAAGTTGCATGAAACGTTTTGTTTCCGTGTACAAGCTTCCTAGTATCACGTGTCAAAACAAACCGAGGCTATGCATGGTGCAGGATTGACAAAGTGCCACAAACTCCTCTGCCTAGAACTGCACCTATTACCACACATATTCAGTTAACGTTTAATGCACAGGTGTACACAAGTGAATTTCCCTGAAACGTTTCACTGCACAGCTTTCCGTTTTCAGTTTCTGCTATTTATCTTAGGTGTGGATTTTGCAATGAGTAGCATTAACCCAGAAGGTTTTGATTAGAGTGGCTTGCAAAATGTTAACTTCACTGGATAATCAGAATAATCTGGCTTTTAGGGTTAGAAGCAACGGATTGTAGTAAATCCAATTAAAAATCAATTATCAATTGTTAATTTAATGATATGACAGTGGTAATCCAGCACTCCATCTGGAGAAAGCAAATCTAAGTTAAAAACAACAACAAAACAGAAACCTTGTATTTCTTTGCAACCTAAGAATGAAGATGTTAATGAGAAAAATAATAATAAAATATTTTACCCATCTTTCTGACTTTATGAATTCATAAGGATATTTTGTATTTACAATTATGCTGCAATAAAATTTGGAGTACTAAAAAGAATAATACATAAGAACCCTGAACTAAAAAAATAAATATTTAATATCTTATTTAACAGGTTACTCTAAAACTAACAAATACTTTCACAAGGTGATGAAACATCATAGAAAAAACTACCAGAAGCAGATGATTATCTATTAAAAGCAAAAAGGAAAAACACTTAAAATATCCCAATACAACTCACAGCAAAGAAGAAATAATATTAAAGTGTTGAGATAATCTACCTTCCCTGGGCTAAAATAAATCAGTATAGTAGTTCAAGATAACGCCTTAATTAAAAATCGGATAATGGTTTTAATGACTCTTTTTTTCCTAGGTAAATTCCTGCCTATGAAAACAATGTTGGGCCCCCGGTATGATGACCAAGTCGCAGAGGAGAACAGGTTTCATCCGAGCATGTTGTCCAACTATTTAAAAAGCCTCAAAGTAAGGACGTTACTAAAGCCAAAAGCAGTGATATTGAGAAGGAAACCCATTGCTTCACTGTCTCTTGTCTTTTCCTCAGGTGAAAATGGGTTTGCTTGTAGATTTGACGAACACTACTCGCTTTTATGACCGCAACGATATTGAGAAAGAAGGAATTAAATATCTGAAGCTCCAGTGCAAAGGGTATGAGCAGATTTCACTGTAAAGCTTAACAGTTAAAAGTGTTGGAGTTCTGTCTGTGTTTCATGTGCTGGAATTTGTTATTCTATATGTTTAAAGCCACGGTGAGTGCCCTTCTAAAGAGACAACTGCAGTGTTCATCAGGCTCTGTGAGGACTTCATAGAGAAGAATCCCACAGAACTGATCGGTAAGCCATCTCTATTATTTCTCTTGGTTATTTTCCTGTCATCATTCTAGTAGAGAACATTATACAGTTCGAAGGCAATACATTGGTATACATTGAGGAGATGTATGTAAGCTTATTATTTTGAAGATGTAAATACATTTCTGACATATTTTCTCCCATTTTTGTGGCATTTCACAGATATAAATCATTTTAATGATTCTAACTGACCTTTAGCTTTAGACAGTTAAAAATATGTTTATTTATGCGGTGCATGCATAAATAAACATATCTGGTTGAGTCTGTATAAAAAGAAATGTATTTTATGTGGTGTTTTGATTTTGCAGTGATTGTTATGATTGTTATTACATTCTGAGAATTATTTTCCAGTTAAGGAAAAAGCAGATTTGACAAGTTGTACTTCATTCAAACCTTCTCACTTCAGTTTTTAGTGTGGCAGGTTGTATTGAGTCTAGTCATTAAGGGCTCTGATGAATACAAATAGTTTCACAACAGTTATGTTTCTGGGCTACTTTATTTTTTATTTTATTTTGTTTATTTTACAATTTTAAACATCTTTTTCTCCTTCAGTAGTTTGATTCTGGGGAAAACTCTTTTTGCAGTATACTGCTGTTTACACTACATTTAATAAAGTTTACAATAACTTTCATAATTTCACTCATGTTCAAGAAGGTCATTTAAGTTAATTTCAAAATTAAATTTAAGCCTTAAGGGCTAAAGTAGATGTTGTCATTAGATTATGGAGAAGATGCAGTGTTATTTTGAAGCACTACCATTTGTTCACAGCAGAGGGCAGCATAACTATACAATATGATCCTTTTACAGCAAAGTGTGTTTGGGGGCTTTGTCTAAAATGTCTTTCATACGTTTTACTTGCATATTTGTTCAGACACATCAATCAGGCTCTTATTGGGGTTTGTTCTGTTTGTAGAACCATGCAGAATAAGTCACCCCGATTAAGTTTTCAGAGTGGGTGCATTTTATACATGCTCCCAAAACAGTTTGCTGTCTGTGGAAGTCAGTATTATATTCATTTGTAAAAGTGTAGGAGTTATCATTAGAACAGAAACAGCTCTCCTCGTGAACATTGTGTAGGTGATTGTGGGTGAAGGAGCATCAGTTGGTGTCTAAATTATTTTTTTCTTTCCAACTGAAAATGTCAGTGTGTGGGCTATTATTGTATTGTTTTATGACTTTTGTTTTACGCAGTGCCTTCAGAGATCCCTTAATTTACAATTTTTTGCTCCTTTCATTTTTATTTTAGTCAAACCAATTAGTGTCTGAATAAATAATGAACAACAAAAGGAATTGTTTAGTTGAGAAATAATTCTTGCCATGTCCTAATCAATATCTGCAAAGACATGCAGTTTCATGCTATTGGCAGCAGGGGGCTCTCTTACACCTCGACTTTCTATTCATTGACTTTTTGCCTCCAAATTCAGCCTTGCCTTGTAAATTGAGTAGCCTGAGCACTAAAACAGATAGTCATCTCAACGACATCCTGCCTTTAGTCAGCTGGTAATCAGCTTTCCCTGCAGGATACATATCCAATTGAAACAGCTGGTTGATAAAGGCCGGTCAGACCCTCCTAACGCGGACCACTTCTACTCCAGTCAACTAAATTTTGCTTAATTTTCAAAGCTTTTGTACACCTCGCTAAGGGAAAAAAAACTAGTTTCTTAAATGTGGTGCATGTGGGGGGATAAAAGTCTCTGCTTTTGTCTGCTTTCATTGTGTTTTAGCATTTTCTTTTCATGCTTCATTTCCCTAAATGTTTCACACATCTTTTAGTCTCCTGTGTTTGTTCAGCAGTTGGTTTGAGGCAGATTGTTGATGTAGGAATAAGTCAGAAATCCCTCTGAGACGATTCACTCCAATTCTCAAAACATGGACTCATCTCAGAGAGGTTGACACGAACAGAAAGGGGTCAACATGCTCTTCCTTTTTAAAATTTTTTTGATTTATTAAATTTTTTCAAGACTCTAAAGATGAATAACAATTTATAACCATAATGCTTTGCAAGGTGTATTTTTCTGATTGTATAGAAGTTTGCATCTACCGCACATTTAATTTGCTGTTTTTTCAAACATTTTTCTATCTCCTGAAGGAGTACACTGCACGCATGGCTTCAATAGGACAGGCTTTCTGATATGTGCGTACCTGGTGGAGAAGATGGACTGGAGGTAAGAGCTGACACTGTGATCGTTCATACATCTGAGTGCTGGATTACAGAAAGATCCAGGACCCCGAGTGTGCGCCCATACACCTGTGAGCTTCTCGTAGTCGTCTCGCTTGATAACTCAAACTATCCAGCAGAGTCTCTCCAGTGGATTGCATCATTACTTCAGTTTCATCCTCCTAGCAATTTCAGTCTTTCTTCAGCTTGCCTTTTGTGCTATTTTTTTTTCTTTTCTGTCTCAAAGAAAAAAGAATATGCGATGCCACCTGAGTGCACTCTGTCAGTACCAATCAACACAAAGCATCGCAAAGGCCGCCCAGGTAGCGGCAACCGGGCCTTTTTCAGAGATGGAAATGATTTCCAGAAGCCGAGCAGGACGGCTGGGGGTTGGGGGCGCATCTTTGCTCTGAGGTGGAGAATCTCTGGAGAAGTGGGGGCTGAATCAAAAACCCTCCCACCTCCCACTGTTTCCTGTGAAATGAATAGTCTCAGGCCGTTTTCAGCTGTCATCCACTGTTAATGTGTTGAAAGATAATTCAGCTCTGAAACTGTCAACAGTGGTCTAAATTTATTTATTTATCTGTTATTTTTGGATTGTTGCTGGAAATAGAAATGGAATTAATGTGCGATTAAGCCTGCAATAACAGTTTATCTATGATGAAGTGAATGTCAAGTAATTTTTTTGTTTGAGATGAGAGTGAAACTCTCGACTTTAAAACATAAAACATAAAGTTTGTTCTGAGTGAAATTTTAATTTGGAAAGTTTCTGCTGTTAACCAACATCTTATACCCTCAGGTGCTCAAAATGCTCAAAAAATAGCCTCTTCACGCTGTAAAAGCTAACCTAGAATCTATCATAACAATTGCAAGATTTGGCCCAGTTACACCAGATGTTGCACAAAGCCATGTTGGAAGGCATCCCTTTAGGCTGTTTATTAAAAGGGCAAGCAGGTAAAAAATAAAATTGACTTGACAGGAGACTGGATTATCCTGGTCTTCTATTATGAATTAGAGAAGATGGCAGGTTAAAGTCTTGATAAAGCGATGAAGCCATTGAGAAAAGCTTTCTGTTCTACTTTTAGACACCAGATTTCTTGAAATTTTTACATTTTGTCATGTACAGACATAATTTTCAATGTAATTTTGTGAGATTTTATATTGATAACCAACACAAATCGACAGATATTTGGTAAGCAAGAGGAAAATGATTCATAATTTTAAGTGAAAATCTGAAATGCAAAAAATAAATATGAAAATGAAAATTAATTGTGTGAACATACAAAGAAATGGTCACACAATTAAACCAACAGACCAGGCAAAGTGAAACTTAATCAAACCTTCTGCCATCCTCTGTAGGGAAGCAACATCAGAGGTTTTAGAGACTTAGAAATGTTAAACTGCCTGATAAAGACGGCTGGTTCTGTTCTAGGGACTACCAGCTGTTACAACAAAAACAATGGTAAGACATTGAAGAAAAATTTGGTTCTACGAAGTATTGAGTCCTAAAGGTTCAACACAAATTCAGGCCACATCTGCTTTATATATATATATATATATATATTATATCCACATTTTCATCTCTCGCGGAGGGCCCCGATGACCTGTGGTCATCGGGGCCCTCGGGGCAGTCACCCCCAAACTGGATCAATGGCTACAACAGATCCCAGGAACATCAGACATCTCAGCCCAGAAATGTGCGGTCCTTGGCACAGCCAAGATACTGCGCAGAACCCTCAAGCCAGGCTGGTGTAGAGGACCCGAGCTCAGAGGATAAGAACCACCCGCGGTGGGTGAGAAGGGAAAATAATTATTTATATATATAAATATATTTAAAAAAAAAAAAAGCAAAACAAAACAGTGTATTCCAGCTATGGTCTACATTATACTGATCTGTTCTGTAATCTTCCAAAGCAATGCATTGTAGTTTGCGGGTTTAGGCTGATGAGCTGTGAAGAGGTGAAGAACCGTGAATGGTTTTAGAATTGAGGCCACAGCAGCATCACCTCTATTAATGAAGGTCTTTTTGTTTCACTCTGTAACCCAAACTGCTTCAAAACAACTGTGTTGGAACCTAAATTAATGAATTTTAAAATAAATACAATTTCCTTTGTGTTTATAATGACAATAAGACCTGTGTTGTAGCCTTAAGCTGCTAAAAAATATAAATCAGTCCTCTCATTTAGCTGCTGCAGTCTTAAAAGACTAACTAAATTTGAATACACTTTGACCTTTTACAAAATGATTGTGGTACTTTTATCAAATCCAATCATCATTTGTAATATAGGAAATATTAATGATCTCTTTAGGAATAGAAAACACAACTTTGAAAACTTGACATCGCCGTTTTGCTGATATAAAGTTTTTATTTATTTTTCTGCCCTGGTGAGTTTTTAACCAAACACAAACCCTCCCCATCAGTTTTCTTCTTTTCCTTATCAGCATCGAGGCAGCTGTGGCTGCTTTCGCCCAGGCTCGGGCTCCTGGGATCTATAAGGGAGACTACCTCAAAGAGCTTTTCTGTCGCTATGGTGAGGAAGAGGACACGCCCGCCGCCCCCGCGCTGCCCGAGTGGTGCTTTGACGACGACGACGGCGATGTGGACGACGACGGCAACGCGGTCAGCCAGGAGTCGGGCCCCAGCTCCTCTGGGTTGGCACTGGGCAAGAGAAAGAAGGAGAAACTAAAACTGGTCAGAGGCTCCATAATGGCTGATGTGATGTGATGCTGCATTGTAAAAATAAAATATATATCTATCAACCATGTGATAAACAAAATCTAATTATAACCTTAGATTTACTGCTGCAGTGAGACACTACTTTTCTCTGCAGAATAAGGTATATTTTGTAACTTTTTTATTGTACCCAGACTGAAAACCTGAGTCGAAGCGAATCTAATAGGCGAGAATATGATCCACCAGACAGATCTGGAGAAGGGAGTAGCAGCTCTTAGAGCCGTTACTGCAGCACTCGGCTGTCGTCTCTCGGTTGAGAGGCCCACCTCGTCAGTTCGACCACTCTGTGGCTGCCTGGCTGTTAGGAGAAAAATATGTGCAGAGCACAAGAGTATTTGTGGAAACACTTGACTTCAATGTTTAATGGTAACCAGAGTAATTGGGTGGTTTTAAAACATTTTATGTTCCTTTTGAGCCTGCTAACGTCCTCTAATCTTTTCATAATATTCCAAAAGTATAATTTCATCCATTAGCTTTCTTTTATGGATTTTTTTAAAAAATGAATTTATTTCTTGTTTCTTGTAGCCACCCAGAATCCACTTCTGCTGCAGCTCTGATCTCAGGAGATTAGCCACAGTTTCTCACTCTTTGCCAGGTCAGAGGCATTAGAGGTGAGGGAGAAATTAGATCCCGTTTCTCACTCGTGTGCACTCTGCTGTAACAAACCATTTTAGAGGAAGCTGGAACATATCGCTGATGGTAAATTGCTGGAGGCCAAGCCATTACCCAGTGTTATCATGATCAACTTTTAAAGCAATCGGAACAATATAGTTCCTCTCTCTTTAGGTTTGTTTTTGAACAAACAGTGGAGCTTGATAGATTAAATCATTTCTCTTAACTAAAGGACTACATTTGTTTCAAAGTCAGAATTTTAAATAATGCGTAGTGTTAATGTAGTAGTTAATGTGTAAAATTTGAGTTAGGTGGCAACACTTCAAAATCTCCATTATGCAAATCAGTCGAAAATCTGCTAAGTTATAAATAATGGGAAAATTAGCCTTCAGAACTTTTGTTCGTCCTTTGTTCATCTGTAAGTATGTGTGTCCCAGAGATCATGAATGTATTTTGGACAAATTTCAGTGAATTCAACCACAGAAAAAAAGCAAAAAACAAAGGGAAGAGTCATTATCCATAATGCAACAGGTTGAGTGTCGAACAAAATTAAATGCTGTATTATATTTTGAAATTGGAATTGGACAAAAAACATTTTGTGACATTTCGGTCTGATGAAACTGAACTTGGGGTGTTTGGGCATAATGACCATTACAATATTTTTGAATTATAAAGGGATGCGTTATGCTGCAGAATGTAAAATGGATAACATAATAAAGGGCGATTTGTGGAAATACTGGAATACATTTTTGCTTTTAAGAACAAGAAATATTATGGTTTTATTTGAATAGTTTATTTTTCTTAATAAGATGAATTGTTGAAATTGTTTTTTGTTAATATTAGATAGAGATTTGAGACAAAGGATTATTTTCTGCTACTAAATTTCCCTACCTAAATGTATCAGGTTTTTCTATCATGAGAAACTTTTTTTTGTAGCTTTGTCATTAGATTTTGTTTGTGGTTAAGAATAAAAATGCCAAGAAATAATTTTCCTTTTGTCCAACCTTCCATCTGTCATCCATCTGTGCAGATGGATGACAGATTTTCCATCTTTCCTCCCTCATAGGAGAAGTTTTAGTAGATTCCAAATGTTAAGCAGACCTTTAGTTATTATTTGTGAACTTTTGTGTCTTTTAATGTTCCCAGATGACCCTGGGAAAGTAGGGAATTTTGACTTTAATGTCTGTGCTCCTTCATATGTTCTTAATTGCCAAATGGAGTGCATAAGATCATGACTAAGTTTTCTTTCCTCTGCAGCTATTGTTCCCTAATATGGGTTTTCTGTATTTGAGATGACATACTGTTGTGCCTTATCTGTTTCTGTTTGTCTCTTTTTACTCTCACATTGAAGCAGTTAGCAGGACTTACCTGCTCAGAGCAAGCATAAAAAAACAAGCAAGTGAAAGGAGGAAGTACTTTAGAAGTGATTGTGTCAGCACTGTAAAAGCAAAGTTAAAGCTCTATTGAGACTGAGTCGAGGCAGAATAACAAGTTTTATGTGGTTAATACTTTAAATAATTAATGTGTCAATGTTTTTAGATGGTTAAAAATAAAAGTAGAATATTTCTTTGCATATCTCTGCCTGCTCCTTTTGCACTCAGCGACTCAGAACCAAAGAAACATCTGTTTTGAATCACTGTGTGTAGGAGGAGGTGAATGTTTATTCCAAACTCCACACCTTTTTACTCTTCTCTTTCTTTTACTTTCTCCTCCCAGGGTGCAGTGTTTCTTGAAGGGATCTCAGTGAAAGGGGTCACACAGGTCACGACCCAACCCAAGTTGGGCGAGATCCAAAGAATGTGTCAGGAGATGGCCGAGTGGGACAGGTGAGGCGATCTTTAATCACACTCCTCTCTCTCTTTTGGGAAACTGTGTGTATACAAACATATGTAGGTGTACATAGTTGGGAGTGACTCATGTGTTCAACTTTATTTTCTCCTTATTTTTTCTTTTTTGGAGCATCTTCACACTTTCAAGCAGGCGGTAAAATCAGAAATAGATTTTCATATTTTAGGGAAGTATACCATAGCAGTTTCTTTTTTGTTTTTTGTTCACGCAAATTGCCAGCCCCACTGAGCTGTCTCATCCCACCAGAGAACAATCCACACTGTAATTTTCTCTGCCTGCTTTTAAATACTTACTTTAAGCCCTGTGTGCTAATTTCTAGTTTTACTATGCAATCTAAATGGGCTGATGCAGAAGGTTTTTGCCGTGAAGGGTTTCAAAAGAGAAAATGTTCTCGAAGTAGTTGGTGTACAGAACCAAAATTACGTGGAGTGACCTTTATTTATCTTATCTATTGTAGGAGGACACAACTTTTCATACTTTCTGATCTCATCCTTTCACTTTTGTAGACTTTATACTATATTGAATGTTTTGAAGGAAACAACTAGGCAGTTGAAGCTGCAACATTTCTAAAATTCAAGCTTAAAAACTTCCAAACAAGCTTTATAGCTATGAAATATTTATTTATTAAGAAACATCAAATTTAGTCATTTTCTTCAAGCACCCTAGGAATGCATGGAAAAAAATTATAGTGAAAAGTTCTGGTGCAGAAAAGCCTCCCCAAACATAACACTTTAACTCCTGTTCTTAATATTTTATATAAGATTTTTATTTATTTAACTTTTATTTAGTCAGATGAGACAAGTAAGAATTAGTCTTATTTACACAACCGACCCGGGATCTGCATTTGGTTTACAAGCGAACACGTCCTCTTGTTCTGGTATCAGAATAATTCAATATATACCCTTACATCTGAAGACCTAAAATTTCTCCAGAAGTCCTGATCTTTTTATATTCTCTTTCTTAAACCTTAATCTGGCTTTTATCTTGAAAGGTGGAGCAAGTGTTTCCTTTTTGCATGCCTCCCATTAGAGTTAAATGTGCACAGTCTTTTTCTGACCGTACAAGTACCTGCTGTAGGATTCAGGGTGACATTTTGGGAATTTCTTCTGTCATCTTTTTGTCTCCTCATGAAATAAGCTTGCTTGTATGACCATGTTTGTAGTTGTTTTTGTCCTCCATCTTTAGACATATTTCAATACAGTGCCCCTGATTGAGTTCTACTTCTTTTGAGACTTTTTAAAAAGGCCAGAATTTTTTCCGAAGCCCTCATATATTTCCTTTGAGCTCATTCGTAATATTCACTTTCACTTCAACAACCAGAAGCTCGTTAGACAAAGTCTTTCATGTGGAAACAAGACAAACTTGCTTCAAAATGCAGATCAGCAATGTTTTAATCATATGCTCTTGATGTCATAGATGTGGGTGAGATTTTTAGCCATTTTAAGCAGGAACTAATGGTTGCCATAATAACCTGATTATTATTAACCATCAGTGGTTTTCTGTCTAAATATTAAAATACTTGCATTTGTGTCCATTGCATGTTGAAATGAAAGTCAGTTTTAAGTTTTTGCTGTTTACCAACTCTTGATGTATTTTAATACTTTTTTAGCCAGTCACTGTTTTCTTTCAATGTCACATGTATCATGTTTGGATTTTCAAGCAGTTATTTGCATAAAAAGCCTCCTTTAACATTTGTAAACTTTTGAGCTCAATAAAGAATTATTACATTAATATTGAGCTAAGAAGAGCTACTGCATAGTTCTCAATAAAAGTGTATTTATGTGATCGATGCCTTGCCTAATGATGGACGTTGCTGTGAAATAAATTGCTAATTTTTGTTTTATATGAGGTAATATTTTATGTGATTTAATGAAATAGTGGACTAAACGTGATCCCAATTACTATATTTTCTGATTACAGGTCTGGATTTCCGGGTGCGCAGCCTGTGTCCATGGACCGACAAAATCTTCGTTTTCTGGAGCAGAATCCTTATAAAGTCAGCTGGAAAGCTGATGGAACACGGTAAGCTTTTTTCACATAACCTGTCAGTGCAGTTGCCATACTTTCTATATCTTATTAGATAGAATTTGTGCATCAAATTCATTGAACTTGAGTTTATGTCTTCAAGGAAAGCTGTGTAAAGTCTAATCCATCATCCAAGTTGCTGAAAACACATTTCTTCACTGCAGGTTTTCTTTCTTTTGCTTTCCTGTCACGCTTAAATGTTTCAAATCATCAAACTAAATTTTAATACCAGACAATAACCTGAGTAAATACAAACTGTAGTTCTCAAGAGATTATGTTATTCATTACGTGAATTCAGACCAACCTGATTTTATGTGAAAAGTAAGTAACCTAAATCTAATCAATACTCAATTTATCTTCTGCTGTCAAGCATCTACAACTGGCAATGAGCGAGACAAATCACTCTTCTTCTTTTTTTTGCACAATTGTTTGAATTATGCCGCATTGAAATGTTTTCAACATACGTTTCAACGGCAGCTGTGCCGTTGCCACAGCTTCTTAATTGCACTGAACCCTAGCCTTTGACTAGACCACTCCAAAACTGTTTTGGAGATTTTGAGAAATGGACTCACATGGAACAAAATTCTGGTTTTCATCAACCAAGTTAATGAAGTTACTTGGTTCCTTACGCAGCAAAGTAGCTCCAAATCATCACACTGAAACCTTGAAATATGACAAAAAAGTAGAAAAAATATAAACACACATTTATTCAAAAGTACACAGCAACTGCAAAACTTTGCACTATGACTAAAGGAAAGAAAGACAATAATTATTTTTGAGTAACATTTATTATGGGATTTTGAATCACTTGAGCCTAAAGAAGTAATTATTTTGTATGTTAGAAAATGCTTTATACCTTACTGCAGCAGTTTTGTCTCCAGAAGCTAAACATTGGAAAACAGTCCTGTTCTCATGGGAGTTCACCACTGCTCTGTTAGGATAATACAGCACTAGAAGGTATGACTGAGCTTAACCATTAAGACTTTGTTTGTGAGATCTGAAACGAAGCTTAACACGACTTGTGCTCCCTCATTAAGTTTTAATTACAGTATATATCTAATCAAGCAGACTGCTCTCTGTATGGCAGTAGAGATGTGCAAATTAGCTACTCTGATGGATAAATCCAGACTGGGAAGGATGACTTTGTCCAGTCTGTCATCCATGAAGAATAAGAAATGCACCAGGGCACTTGTTCTTTCCTGTCACGTTTTCCTGTGAATTTGTTGTTTTCTTTTGTTTCATGTCTCTCTAGTGCTCGAGGCCACTGCTGCAAGGGAAGAGAGACGTTTTAGTATTCTGCTACTCGGCTGTGAAGCACTGCCTCTCTGGATGGTGCAAATGCGCTGTGTGCAGATGAATATTTAATGACTGCAGTCAATTTCAGAATTTTACATATCAGCGCTTTAATTTCCTGTACGCGTGAGACTCGAAGGGAGCAGATTTGGCTCCTGACCAGGACGCTGCTAATGTGCGTAATTAGCTGCCGTTATCTGCAAAACGCTTCAGAATGCGGTTAAAAGTTTTGTTCTTAAATTTGATCAGAGACTTTCAGTTCTTCCTCTGCTTACCCAAACTCTTGACGTGCAACCTGTTTTCCCTCCAGCAACTGAAGTTTTAAAGGGTAGAGATGCTGTATGTGATTTCATCAGTAGTGATGCAGAAATGAGGCGCAGCATGTTGTGTGTGACTCATCACCCAGGCGCAGGTTATGCACTATGCTGACATTACTCTATTTTTCACTCTCCTCATAGTTAGTAAGAAACATTTTAATGTTGGGAATAAGAAAACAACAATGAGCAGGGCATTCTGCATTGAACTGCATCCTCACAAGATTATGTTTTATTTGCTTGAGAAATTTTTGGGTTATCAGTGGTTAGAGACAAATACCATAAAAAGTGTTGATCATTAATTTTTGATCCTACTTTAGTCATTGTTAAAAGCTAGGGGGAAAAAAACATAAAATTGTAAAAATATAACATGATTGATGAATTTAAAGGTAGTGCGCATGCTTAGTAGAATGTGCTGTTCGTAAAGGTGTAATGATCATAACTGAATTGCAATTCGTTTTTCTCATCATGTCCTCTATGAAAAATGGAGGACATTTCTAATGAGGCCTAAGCAGCGGCAGCCTACAGAAGGCCTATTGTTTTCATACTGTTTATTATTATTATGATCATTATTATCATTAATGATCATAATAATATTTGATTTCAGTTTCGAGCTGAGCTGCACCAAACTCACTCGGATGCATCCTTATAACAGTCATTGGTGGGCGTGGCCTAATTTATCTACAGCGCCCCCCGAGAATATTTTAAATGATCAGCCCCAAGTCATGGTTTAACCCAGAATTATGAAACTTGTCACACATATGTATCTTGTCAAGATGTACAAAAAAGTATCTTGGAGCCAATGTCCAAACCCAACAGGATGTTGGCCATTTTGGATCAAAATCGCCATTTCCTCTTTTCTATAAACGTCGTATCTGATCCAACTCTTTATACAGCTTTGAGATACAGACTTCAGAATCACTCAGGAGTCTTCAGACATTGAAGGTCAGAAGTTATCACAGGATTTCTTTTACATCAAAGCATGTGGGTGTGGCTAAGTGTTAAATTGACTATTCTCCTTGAAACATCAAAGTTTAATAACTTCCACATGTCAGGTCACAGCTGCATCAGACTTCATATGTCTCACTACAAACCAGTCCTGATCACATTGTCATGGTCAGTTGATGTCATCACCTCAGCCCCGCCCACTTTCAGCAGAAAGTCACTTGTTTGTCTTATTTTTAAGACATACAGTAGAAAAGGGTTTATTTCTGTGCCAACTGACATGAAATTACATGATGAACTCTGTCAATGCTGGCTGAACCATGTGGGCGTGGCCAAATGGCGAATATTAGTCCCTCACCATATGCATACCATTGTCTATATCACACATGGATTATTCGATTTGCGCCAAACTGGATATGTAAGATCTTTGTTCACCTCTGAAGAGGCCAACAGCAGTAGTGGAGTATTTTGACTCCACTACACCCCCTACGTTAATCCATCAGCTATATCTCCTCGCTACATCGGCCGATCTGCACCAGATTATTTGTACTGCTAAACGCATCAATATGTATCGCGTGGCAGACGGACGCGGGAAGTGCGCGAGAGTGTCTGCGGTGGCAAGTAGGCGGCGTTGCCGGAACCACCGCAGTGGCCAATAAGCCAGAGAGGTGCTGAGCCAGACACCTCTTGTGGCTTTAATTAAGTGTTACACTTTCTGTTCAGCAAAGTTTTAAGACCTGCATTGAGTTTTCATTGGAAGTTTGAGTTATTGAGGTGGCAAAGAGAGATTATTCCACTTTGCATTTTCCCAGCATTCTTCAGTCATAGTCGGTTTAAATCCCTCCAAGTTCCTTTTCCTGACTCTGCTGAATGCAAGATAGGTCCTGATTTTAATTAAATAAATTGTATTTTAAAATTTATTATCTTTAGCGTTGGTGGACAATTTTTGTAATTATTTTTTGTGAAAAGGTAAACAAAACAAAAGGAAAATTAACCGACTTTATTGTTCTTCTTCCTCTCTGTCCCAAGAAAATGATCCTGGCAGTCTCATTTTGTGACTGGAAGGCTGTGCATCAGCAAACCTGACAGCTCAACTGCAATGCTCACTAACACAATAACAAGCAAAAAATGATGACAAACTGCTGAAGTGAATCTACTTAGCTAAAAATAATTTGCCGTCTTTCCCTCATGCACAGAGCAGCCATACAGCAAACAATAAACTGTCACTGTCTTATCTGGCAAGCGCATGGCTTCTAATGGGCTTTGGAAAATCTGTGAATTGGCCAAGAGGAGAAACTTCAACTCGGTTGAATTTTAAATTGGCTTGTTATAGGGTCTTCTGACATTGGTTGATTGGTTTGTGCATAAGTGAGGAAGGAGGAAAAGGAGCGAAATGAGGGGAGGAGGTGTGAGTGGATTGGGTTTTAAAGAAATGACTTGAATTTTCTCGATGAAGGACTTTGGAAAGTGTTGGATTTCCTGTTTTAAGATTACTCTTAATTCATTTTCGTTCCTCAAAGATTCAGTTAAAATAATTCTCAATTATGAATTACTCTCTATTAGATAGGTTTAATCAGAATTAATGTCTCAGAAGACTGAGCTGCTTGGTTTAATCACAGTTAAGAGATATAAACTAAGCATTTGTTTTAAAAGTTACATAACACATACAGCATGTTGTTTTACATTGTAAAGTTTCAGCTTGCCTAGTTCAAGTCCTGAAACTATTTCCTCAACATAGTTGGGATCAGCTGTTCATTGTTGCATGACTCTGTGAGGTTGTGTTGAAGCCTGCTTGTAGCCGTCAGAAAGAAGTCTGCTCTTGAAAATTGAACTTGGTTGCTACTTTCCGGTTTGAAAAGAATAAACTATTATCCAAAATATAACAGTTGCAGAGTGCCGTTTTAGAACCACTTTGTCTTTGTTTACTCTTTGTTAAGAAGGGAGGTTTTAGTCAACACTGTTATTTACAGAGTTCCTGCGAAGTGTTGTATTTTTTTAATGGTCTTATGAATTATGTATTTTATAGATCCAGAAAGAATAGAGAAGGTAGAAAAAAATGACAAGAAAGTAGGATTTGAAAACGTGTGTATTTCAAGGCAGTTTTTATTTCACAACGTGCTGAAGAAAGGAAAATCTAGTTTAAAAGGCACTTTCAAGACAATATAAAAAGTAAACAAAATGCAATTTCAAAAATAAGCAGCTAAGACAAAAAAATGACGTTTTTTCAACTGTGTTTATCATAACGTTTCTTCACCTTTAATCTGAAAGGGCAGTCACAATTTCCTTTTTGTCTCTAAAGGGAAAATAACCCAAGGCTCATTGGGTTGACAAAAAAATGCAGTGCTTCCCCTTCACATAACACTAATGATGTGCAAAGCCCTTGTTTCTGATTTAAGCCCTCCCCTGAAGCTCGGCTGCTGTCAGTCATGCTGCAGGACTGGACTA